AAAAAAAAACCTTGCTATGGAGGAAATAGGTCTTTGAATTACTCACTTTACAGAGGTATCTCTTTCACATAAAGTTGAATTTCTCAATTTAATCTGACAGGGAGTTTTGCTGTTACAGTTATAAAAGTCACGTGCGCGTCTGTAGTACGATCAACAGGAACAGTGCACATATTTTGGACCAATCAGTCTTAGACAAAGTGAACATTCTGTATTCATACCTCGACCTATTCTAGTTTCACGATGAAATGCTAGATAATAGCAGTAAAACTCCCCAAGGCTTTTCGCGTTAAAATGTGTTCAATGACATATGAAAAAATGTAAGGTTGCTGTACTCCTAGCTCTGGGGTTAAATCGAGCAAATATATTTAACCAACTTACATTCAACATTGCTCTATGATAACATTCGTAATAAGAACCTTTGATATCTTAATTGGTTTAATACAATTCATTTTTCCCACGGCACGGATGTCTTCAACCCAATCACGCAGCATCTGCTTGAAGCAAACTTGTCATTTTTTTCAACTTTTTTCAAATTAGGTATCAAAACTATGGACTCGGTGCTCAAGCTTCTTTCCGAGTGACAATGTCACACGTCCCTGCTACTTTTGAACATGTAGGCTTGGTTAAGTCCACTGAGCAACAAATGGTCCACTTGAAATTGTCAGTTTCAGAGTATATGAGGAATAAACAATACTTTCGGTTAAAATGCATGCCTCAAAAGCTATTCCATGTATTAACACGAGTTTACACGCCTGTCTTAAGGGTGTATCAGAGAAATATGGAAGGGCTGCGTAGCACCGTGATCAGAATATCGATATGAATATAATATCAAATCAGTGCTCTGAAATACGTGATTGTCGAGCTTTCGGTAACTGAGTACCTTCTTCAGGGCAAGCAGATTCAGTTTGCTTGCCCTGAAGAAGGTACTCAGTTACCGAAAGCTCGGCAATCACGTATTTCAGAGCACTGATTTGATATTATATTCTTGTCGATGTCTTAATGGTGTCATTGGTTTGCATTAACTACCATGAACTGCATGGCCGCATTTGGGTGCCCCACTTTAAAATGGACCAGAATTGTTTTGGTTTGAAAAATGAGAATACTGGCAATTAATTGGGCTGTTTTACTTTCCTCCCCCCCAAATGTTGCCCTAGAAAAGGCCAAGAGAAGGTTACGAAGAAATTTCCAAATTTTAGTTTCCCTGGCTCCGATAATTTGGTTCTTGTTCCGCCATTGCCTGGCCGCCAATGTGGAAAATTAAGACGCATTTTCCAGATCATCAAATTACCCAATACAGCCGGCTCAGCACCCACATGGATAGGTGGTGGTTTCACCAAGCCTTACATAACAGAATAAACTATTGCGAAGTTACATAGAGAATTCAGTACATATAATGATTAATACCAATCGCTACCACGGCTGGACTACATTTACCAACAAATGTCACATTTCAATATAATAGCATAAGTGTCTACAAAGTAATTGCTGTCAACTTAAATTGGTAAACTACTTCAAAACAGCTATGCAGATATAAGTCAGTTACACTCGCTACATACTCAATCGAGCAGGTAAATTAATGCAAAAGTTGCTTTGAAATGCTGTGACTATTTGCATACAAATATAAAAATTCCGAGGACTGTTACAGTGTATGCATGTCTGTGTAATTTAAAATCGATAATAAAACGAAGGACT